ACAGCTTTTAAAAGTAACTTCTTATGCTATTTGTTAGATTATGAATGAAAACAATTTGTCAATGTTTTACGTTTTAAAAAATAATTCATTGTTTTGCTCACCATGCCAGGTTTTTTTTTACGTTACTTGTTAGTTTTTACCTTACTTTTGCAGGGGGGGGCAGTCATCTGGTTGGTTGGTTGGCTGGTTTGTACAGTAAAATAAGAGTCCTGAGCAGCGCAGAGCAGCACAAAATCTGATGTACACGTTCTCTAGTGATAAAATCGATATCTGTTTACTCAGCGATCCAACACTCTTCAGCTATTACAAGTAGCAACATTTCAGAAAGGTTGGAACACCAGTTAGAGTGGCTAACAGATTGACAGTGACATACTACTGTCAATTCTAGAGATGGGAGTATTCGTATCTGTATACAAATACCCCTGCAGAGCTGGACTTAATGAGGGTCCAGTCCCTGGAACTGGACCATCCACTCACACGTCTGCCAGTAGCAGTGTGGTGGTTCAGTTGAGGGCTTAGCTGAGACAAGGCTGCAAGTGTTGAAGGGAATTAGCCAAGGAGTGCAGTTGGAAGCGATGACTAATCACCATGGCCATATAGGTTTGCCTCCTGTGCTAAATCAGTGCAGGAAGCAACTGTTGTTTTTGGATACTATTGTTTGTGGACTGCTTTGTGAAACCTTCTGGATGTCTCCAGGCAGCTTCGGTCAGCCTTCCAATCACGCCTGGAGTCCTGCTCTTTTCCCATTCATCTAGCCACTCAGCAGTCATGCAGGGAGATTCATCCTCCCTCCCATTGCCTGGAGTTGGCTATGACCCTCATTAAATCCAGCTGTACAGGAGTATTCATATACATATACCCCCATCTCTGGTCAGTACATCTCCCCAATACCTATCTGTGGAGAAGAATTTTGGTGTGAAATCATGCTGCCAAATGTTGGTAGTAATCACAATGGCCACCAAAACCACTTTCAACACAATACTTCTAAGCTCTGCATGTTTAAGAGGGGAAAAAAGCAGAGGAAAGTAAGAAGTTTTTTCAAGAAAGTTTATGTACCAATACTGGACTGTCACTGTAGCTTTCTTGATAAGTTTCTAAGGAGCCTTCACTGTATGTTTTTGATGTTGTTGCTTGAAGGGTGAGCAAAAAAAACACACACACACACACAACCAAATAAATTAAAACCCCTAGGGCTCCCTGCAACATATTACTGTAGTTGGCACAGAAAAGGAGTTTTTGATTTAAATGTTGAAGAGGAAAATGTATGCAAAAGTGTATCCCAGAAATATTTAAATAAATAAAAGCAAATCATGCATGTCATTAAAAACCTGTTCCTGTAACTTATGCAAATGCACATATCCAGGGTTATTTTCTCTCTAACGTTGCAGATTTAATCAGTCTGTGAGACAGTTCATGATAATGCATAGTTTATCATGACAGGAAGAACTCCTCCACTTTCCTCTTCTAAAGCACTTATGAGGAGGCAGTTAAAAACTTTTGTTCATGTTTTGTAAGTAAGCTTAAACAACTATTTGTTGAAACAAGGTGGCTTTTTAACCCCTAGACTTTCACAGCCAAACTTTCCAAAATCTTTTTAGCATTGAACTATATAGTTTATCCCCATATATGTCCCTTTTATGTAAAAGGAGTACTTCAGTGGACACCAGACAGAAAATGTCTGGTTTTGCATGCAGCTTCTTAAATAAAATTCCACTCTACTATGTGCCAATATTGTATTTATGAAGGGCATTCATGAACTTCTGTGTTTATCTCTCAAAGTTATTAGCATTCTTGGATTGTATCCAATTAGGGAGATAGCAAACAGACGTTTCAAAGCAGCTGATGTCCGGGGGTTGAGGGGATCATATCATCATTCACATGCACATCACCAAACCCTGTATTGTATGGCTTAAAACCCTCTTGAAGTGATGCTGTGTCCAGGAGGATCTGAAATTGAAAACAAACAAAGGCCTGTAATAAAATTCTGCAGCATCCTGCCACTTACAAAGAACAGGATCAAGATGGCAATCATAGCATAGCTTGGCTTTATAGGATTAGTGAAATAAGAATCCATACTACTCAAGAATGAGTTTCTGGGTCTCAGAACACCAGCTGAAATCTCAAGAAATTGCTGTTCTTCCACAGATCTCCAGGCAGAGAGATAAAACTGAAGTTGTACAGTGCTAGAAGAGGAGAAAATCTGATTTTAGTCTGTGTGGCAGGCTTAAAGCTCAAGTACCCACCTTCTCTCTACTTCCAGTTGGCACCAAGGCTAAACAGCTCAGTGTTATAGTGTTTGTAAGTATATAAAAAATGTTAAGAAGATAGTGTAGGAAATCCAAATTGCCTTCTGATGTTGATTACGAATAGGGATGGGGGTATTAGTATTTGTATACAAATATGAATATCCCCACGCAGCTGGATTTAATGAGGGACTGGCCCCTGTGGCCAGCCCATTCAATCATGCATCTGGCACCAGCAGCAGCCTCGCTCATCCTTCCAATCACTCCCAGAGCTCCGCTCTCTTCCTGCACAGCTAGCAACTCAGCAGCCATGCAGGGAGACTCATCCTGCCTCCCACTGCCTGGAGTGGCCAGGACAGCAGGAAAAGAGCGGAGCTCTGGGAGTGATTGGAAGAATGAGCAAGGCTGCCAGCACTGCTGGACACATGAGTGGACAGGCCAGCCGCAGGGGCTGGCCCCTTGTTAAGTCCAGCTGTGTGGGGATACTCATATTCATATATGAATACCCCCATCTCTAATTACAAATGTCAAATGGAGCCACTACAGTCCACTGATAGTCAACTTGTACCTTTACTGCTGGTACCTTTGACAGGGTAATTTAAAACTCCTCAGCTTGAATTGGACCTAACTCTCTCCCTCTCCAGGGCCAGGAACTGTAAGGCATTCTAAGAACCTGTTGGAGTTTTTACAACCTCACACGTTATCTGTAGTTTGAGTGATTGGGCGGAACCTTTCTGGGCTGGTGTTATTGTCAATCTATCCAGTACTAACCAATCATTCCTTCCTTCCTCTGAATTCAAAGAAAGCCCCACCTCTCTGCTGAGTGTTCTCTTTTTCCTCTTTTTAAACTGTTGGAAGCAGTGTTGTTAGTTTGCTTCTTGATCTGTTCACAACTTTAAGTAATGAAACATTTTCAATTTTACTCCTACAAATATTCCAGAGTGAGTTATTGAGAATTTAAGTGCCACCAAATGAGAAAAGAGTGGAGAAACCCTTCTGTGAGCCCCTATACTTCTACTGCATGGCACAAAGGGATTTTACCTGAAATTCAAAACTCTGCAGCATAACCAAGGTAACCAGCTGTTGGGCAGCATGCCCCAGTGCCATTGCTTTGGAGCACCATTAGTCAGTCATTTTGGCTCAAATATGGCAATAGCGTGTAGTAGGAAATATTCCCACACCATGTCAAACATAAACTCTCTTGAGTGCAAACTTTAATGTGGTGAGGGGATTAGAGTTTTTCGGGGAAGCTAGAACAATATCCTCAAGAAGCTAAACTCCATTACGACTGTTGAAATACAGTGGTGCTTCGCTTAATGATCTTAATTCGTTCCCAAAAAAACATCGCTATGGGAAAACATCGCTAAGTGAAACACCATTACCGTCCTTAAAGGAAAATAGCCATAGGAAACATCACTAAGCGAAACAATGTTTCCCACATTGGAATGCATTGAAGCCTATTCAATGCATTTCAATGGTTTTGACAGGTCCGTTTTCACTATTTTTAAAGTGTCTTAAAATGTTCAAAAGCTGTTTTAAATACTTGGAATCGTTAGTGCACCTTGTAAAACCTTTGCAAACTTAATTTGGCTTTGTTCTGACTCTTTGTTAATTTTTGGTGAATTCCCCCCCCCATTGGAATGCATTGAACTGTAGGTTTGACACACTTAAAATAGCGAAAATGGACATCACTAAGCGAAGCAAGGTACCGAACATTGCTATGCAAAATTTCCCCATAGGAAACATCGTTAAACGGAGCACAAAATCGCTCCAAAAACCTCATTGCTAAGCGAATACATCGTTAAACGAGGCAATCGCTAAGTGAGGCACCACTGTATGTTGAAATGTGTTAAATATATAGCAACCCAGCATGCTTATGTATGAAAACCTAACATGTTTGTTAACTTTCTTAAGCAACTAATCAAGATCTCGGTTTCCTTCCCGTCACTAGGGGGCTTATTATTTTTCTTTCTAAGGCAGTGTTGCTTGTCAGTTAGTTTCTTGAGGTTTGTCAGTTATTGCCAGTTTAATAGACTTAATGGAGTGTCTCTCCTTAGTCATGATTTTAACAGAATAAATAATTATCTTTTTTAACACTAACAACCCCATGTGTCCTTTTATATGTAAATATTGTTTCTTCTTTTCACTATTGTCTGACTGGATATTTTTGTTGGGCTAATTATATAAGGGGAATTCTTGAGGAACTTGCTAATAATTCTAAGGCTATAACTGTCTCGCCTTTTGCTATGCACAAAACTCAACAGTGACAGTCTAAGTACAATGATCAAAGCTGGACAGGTAGACCATTGAGGTTCTGGGTTTTTTACTTCAAATCTCAGAATTCTGCATTCTGGGAGTTCCATCTCCCAGACAGACACCTCAGTTGTACTCACCTGCAAAAAGACTGGACTAGAAGGCCCCATGGCCCCAAGCTGAACATGGGTCTAACAGCTGTTCCCATTGCAGGTTGAGTGCAAGCTAGAGTGTAGACCCAGGAGGTTCCAAAGAAGCTGGAGTGCCGGCTGGGGGCAGCTTCCTTCTCCAATAGGAAACTAGGCCTGAGTGTGGCCTCTCTGGGGCTGAGAGGCCTTCCAGCCTAGTCTTCCTCCAAATGAGGCCAATTTAGGTGACTGTTTGGTAAGTGGAGCTCCCAGAATAGAGAATTCTGGGATTTGGAATAAAAAAATTAAATGTGCATGCCTAATAGCCATTTCCGTACAATTGCACTCACTTCAACACTAGCAAGGTTATGCTCAAAATCCAACAAAGTAGGCTTCAGCAGTATGTGGACCAAGAACTCCCAGAACTACAAGCTGGATTTCAAAGGGGCAGAGGAACTAGAAACCAAATTGCTAACATGCGCTGTATTATGGAGAAAGCCAGAAAGTTCCAGAAAAACATCTACCGTATTTTTCGCACCATAAGACACACTTTTTCCCCACAAAACGGGGGGGTGGAAAGTCTGTGCATCTTATGGAGCGAACAAAACAGATTATATTTTCCTGTTTTCCTCTCCTAAAAATTGGTGCGTCTTATGCAAAGGTGCGCCTTATGGAGCGAAAAATTGTACTTCTGCTTCATTGACTATGCAAAAGCCTTTGACTATGTGGCCCACAGCAAACTATAGCAAGTTCTTAAAGAAATGGGAGTGCCTGACACGTAAGAAGAGGTGGCAGTCGCGACAACTACCAACATGAATGTGACCAAACTCTGGGAGGCAGTGGAAGACAGGAGGGCCTGGCGTGCTCTGTTCCATGGGGTCACGAAGAGTCGGGCACGACTTAACTAAACAACAACAAATAGTCATTTCAGGAGAAGAAATTGATAGCTCTAGTGATGGTGCAGATGGAGAAACTCCCAACAGCAATGTTAAAGGATGACACTGATGGAGAATCTTCCACAGACAATGACAGTAAAACTCAAACTATTTCTTGTTAGCACTGTGCACAAGGAAAGTAATAGTAAACCACCTCTGAATATTTCCAATCATGAAAACTCTCTGATGAGATAATCAAAAATGAAACACTTAGGGTTTAGCTAGACAACTCAGTTGGAGAGGACTGGAGTGGACTAAATAGCACTGCTTAAGGTTGGGTAGAGCTCCAATATGCCATGTGGTGTGATCCTTGCAGCCACATGGTATATGCATGAAATATACCATGCATGTACCATGTGCATGGTATATTCCATGCGCACTAGGAACACTAAATTCCCTCTTTGCCTCCTCCTAGCATGTTAGTCTTACAGGCACTTCCTTCCTCTCATGTGATCATGTAGCACCCAAAGGCAAATCTGGGAGTTAAGGAAAACAAACAGAGGAGCTGGAGGGTTGCTACAGCTATCAGCAGCCTATCAGAATGTCCAGGAAAGAAGAACAAGCATTTTGAATCTGTAAATAGGCCTATAACACAGTGAGGGGTGCTCTTGGATTGAATTGTTGCTTTTGGGATTGCTACGTATATGCTGAGCCTCTTGGTGCACTCCATCTTATACTGTCCCCTGCTTGTCTGCTATGCCTCCACATTAGATCTTTTCCCTTTTTTTCTTAATGAGGGAGAGGTTATTCCCATTTCTTTGGATTATCTTTGCAGCTGCCAAGCAGGCTGTCTGTGCAAGCTTGCCTCCTTGGGATATTGTTATTGTTGGTGTTGCTATTGTTTTCCCTGATTTTGGGGGAGGGGATTTTTCCCCTCTTTGGGTTTTGTGTAGTGTGCATTGTTTTGGTCCTTTCTTGGATTGTTTTTGCTGCTCCTGCTGCCCACTAGATTTGAAGGAGAGACAGCATCAAGTAGTGGAGAATAAGAAATCTCCCTGTATTGCAGGAGTTTTAGTCTTGGTGGGGTTGATTTTCTTTTAGGGGGATCTCCTTATTTGCTTGTTTGCTTTTGTTTGTTTCTTTGTTTTCCAGAGAGGGTTGTATGTTTTTTGTTTGGCTGTTTGCTCTTTTTCCTCAGTACTTTCTTCATTTGATTAATTTTTTAAAATGTTACTGTATATTTATTCTGTTAAAGGTGTATATTTTGGTGTTGGGATTTGGGCCACTCAGTTTTTGTTTGTTAATTTTTTGGTTTCTTTTTGTTGTATTTTCTTTCTGTCTTTCTTTTCTTTTCTTTTTTCTCTTTTGCTTCTGTGGGGTGTGTGGGCCAGATAGGTGGGTTTTGTGACTGTGAAAGTGTGCTCCTGGGCTGTATGTGTGGCTGTTGTTCTTGGCTGGGCATAGCTTGTAGCTTTCTCTCTTTGTCCTGTTCCACACTGGATGAGGAAAAAAAGCTACTGGCTAGTAAAGTCCCACACTAGGGAAAGGGTGAAGTAAGAGAAACAGGAACTATAAAGCTCACTGCAGTAGTTACAGAAGCAGGGCAAGCCAAAGTCATAGTTTAAGAAGCAATCCAAATGGTCAAAGAAAATCCAGGCAATCCATAACAGGGGATTAAAACACACAGGAACAAAGCACAGGCTGCAAGAAATTGCTTGCAACAGCTTACAGATCCTACTGGAAGCTGCTTTCTAATTATGCTGCTGAGTCTCTTGTGCTAGTGGGTAGAACTGAATTCATATTGTTGTTTTCTCTTTTCTAATTCTTGGGTGCTTTACTTCTTTTTTTCCTACTGTTTTTCTTTCTCATATACTTTTTACCTGCTTTTGTAGTAGTAGATTTATCCTCTTTTGCCTTGCCTCTGCTTTTTGGAGTAGTAGGGCTTTTGGAGTGAAAGAAAACATGGGAAATACAAACAGGAAGCCTGAAGGACATTTTGCTTTACATATAAAACAAAATAACCAGTATATTTTAAAAAATACAGAAATGAAAAAAGCATCCTTGAAAGAACCCAAAAAGAAAGAAATGTTAAATATTAATATTAAAAATTGCACCATGCACAACCCTAGGAAAGATAGAAGGACAATGGCCTTCTTCTAGTTTCTGTGGTGTGGTAATAAATTTGCAAGTAGAGGTACTTAGCATGACATTTCCCACAGCCAGTCCTCTCCCACAACAAGAGTCCAAAAATGTAAGCAGCTGGATCAGTCCATATTAATAGTTAAAAAACAGGTTTTTTAAAAATAAATGTAGCAGTTCTTAATTGCCCATTCAAAATCAAAGCAACCTCAGATACACTGTATTACAATACTGAGAGCTGCCAAACATGCTCTGTTCATGAGGAAATCCATTTCCCTCCCAGTTACTGCGAGCATTGCAAACTAAGCTCATAAGGAACAGGGAAGTGGTGGGAAGAGGGGGAAGATACAGATGTGCCACCATCCTTCCTTCCCCCAAAGTCCTAGGACTTCATCCCTGCAAGCTCTGGCTCCCTTACCTTAATTCACCTGCACTATTATAATTAAGCTGAAATAGACTGATTTTTTAAAGCACGTTAGATTCTCTCACACACCTGACTGTTGAGCATAGGGGACTTTTTTAAAAATAAAAAATGCTGAAGGCAACCAACCGTTCTGAAGTCTGTCAAAGCTGCATAATGAAGCATTTTGTTCTTCAGATCCTGTGTGTGTTAAAAGCATGAAAAGGAGACAAGGAAACAGAAAGCAAACATAAAATGGCTAAAATTAGGTCAGATTCTAAACATGCAAAAATTGCTCTTGAAATGTAAATATTCCCTAACTATAAATGAGCTCTTACAACGGAAAAAGAGAGAGGCCCCTGAAAGCATGTATTCATATCACTATCAGGATTGCAAAAGTATTAGGGAAGGAAAAACACGCCACAGACCACAAAATGAGAACTGTCTCCAGCTGACAAGGCTGAAAGTTCCTGTGAAGTGTGGGGAAAAAAACAGCTCTTCCCTTTCATGGTGCTCTTAGTGACTTGTATTAAGAGATGCAGGCAGATGAGCCATTAAAAATGGAAGAAATCTTGTAGTTAGTACTGGACATTAAAAAACCAGCAGGTACGTGTATGTCTCTGCCACTCAACACTATCTATCTATCTATCTATCTATCTATCTATCTATCTATCTATCTATCTATCTATCTATCTATCTATCTATCTATCTATCTATCTATCTATCTATCGGTCGATCGATCGATCGATCGGTCTGTCGGTCTGTCGGTCTGTCTCTTTTTTTCCTATTGGCAGATTCAAGATGTTCAGAGGACTTGTGTGACACCAAGTTTAAGAGGCCCCATAGCATTGCCAAAAAAACAAAATTTAGTAAGGATTTATAGACCCTAAATTGTACCTGACAGTGTTAATCGGATCCAGCTATTAGATATAAGAGTACCCTGGGAAAAGGCATGCGTACATGTATGTTGGACTGTCCTAGAGATATATGGCCTATGGAATGGGCTACAGACCTGTGGTATGACCTGCCTATGGAATAGCATTGAGGAAATCTTCGATTTGTTTCATAAACAGCACAACTGACTGTATCCTGTTGGAAAAAAGGGTGAGGATACCTTCAAGCCTGGACATTTCCATGATGAAATGAGAGGGGGGGAAATAGACAGATACAGGACAGCTGTGGAAACAAGGTTCTGGCCGAGTTGGGAGGCAATGGAACAGTATCGAAAGGTTACAAGGTTGGTGAGGCGTTTACCCCGTGGCCCCTGCTTGTTTCACCAAATACACCCTTTAACACGCTGCCACCTATTGATCTCTTTATCAACCTATATTTCCTATGAAAGACTGAGGCCCATTCAGTACTGAATTTTTAAACAGAAACAGGCTTATTAATTACAGGTTGTTTTAGGACTAGTTCTTAAGCACATTCTTAAAGTTACACAAAGCTTCAGTATTTTACTTTAACCTCTTCTGTCTTAATTAATACAGGTTACACTCTGACTAATCACTCCTTAAACACTCTCTCTGCCTCAAACCCCCAAACTCTTTCTCTCAAAACTCTGACTGAACTAACTGGACTCTGACTCACCCCTCCCTTCTAGTTTTTCTGGCTCCGCCTCCCAACAGCTCTCATTGGTGCATGCAAATAATCTTCTATCTGAGCCAAAGAAGGGTGATCGCCACAGTTGGATATTTTCAATGGCTCCAAGCTCAGAGTATATCCTCATAAGCTCTACTGTCACATTATGTACCATAGGGGCAAAGGGGTGTTTTACTTTCTGGGAAGCCAGCCAGAATGAAGGAAAATTAGGTGCATCAGTGGAGCAAAAAGCAATTTTTTTTGCGGGGGGCGGGGGACAAGAAGACTGAGACTCAGTCACATTCATTCATACAATCATGTTCACATGCAGGTGCTTTTCAGTTCACTTTTTCTCAGTAATTTTTACTTTTGCAGCTTTTGACTGCTCTGGGACTTTGGGGCCTTAGTTTACATATCTTTATTCTGAGAGAAGCTTCAGTTTCTACAATGCATTAGATTACTCCTTTTGGGTGAATCTATACCTTCCTGATGTATGGAAGTGAGAGCTGGACCATAAAGAAAGCAGACCGCCAAAGAACTGATGCCTTGGAATTGTGGTGCTGGAGGAGGCTCTTGAGAATCCCCTGGACTGCAAGGAGAACAAACCTATCAATTCTAAAGGAAATCAACCCTGAGTGCTCACTGGAAGGACAGATCCTGAAGCTGAGGCTCCAGTACTTTGGCCATCTCATGAGAAGAGAAGACTCCTTGGAAAAAACCTTGATGTTAGGAAAGTGCGACGGCAAGAGGAGAAGGGGACGACCGAGGATGAGATGGCTGGACAGTGTCACCGAAGCAACCAACATGAATTTGACACAACTCCGGGGGGCAGTGGAGGATAGGAGGGCCTGGCGTGCTCTGGTCCATGGGGTCACGAAGAGTCGGACACGACTAAACAACTAAACGAAACACCTTCCTTACTGACTTATTTCATTTAATCTTCACACACACACACACACACACACACACACCAGTGATTTCACTACTTTATTTTACATTTTCCCTTCTGTATTCCCATCTGAATTGTCCTGGATCAATTCTCCCACATATTCCCCGTAGTCTTTGGGAACCTGTTCCTTAGAATAGTAGATATACATAGTTCTTCTTAATCTTTAGGCAAAGACTACTAATAGCTGGAACATAGTGAGCTTCAACTACAAGGCTGGTGAAAGGTTAAGGGCAAATACAATGTTTAATAATTGTGACTACTTTTGCATAATTGTAATTCAATACAGGTTGTTCTGCTTTGCACTTTTTATTTCATCATTGCATTGTATTGTTAGAAATTCATTGATTTTCCTTTTATTTCTTTTATATTGTTCCTTCATTTTGTGGATCTTATTCCCTGTTTATCTGCTGTGATGTAAATAAATCTTCAAATTAATTGCACCTGTGAATAGTCATATCATCTCTGGTTATATCTGTTGCCCACTGGGGCAAATAAAAGACCTCATTTTTCAGACAGAATGTCAGATCAAAAAATTAGGATTTTTTTTTATTTCCTGCAATTAAAACATTTTCTCTCTGAGCATCAAATTCTTCCCAAGCACAGTTAGACTTGCAAATGAAACCTCTGTTTACTTCCCAATCACCAATCAGAAAAGAAAAATAAACTAATCTGCAAAATACAGAGTGAGGAAAGGCTATGCAAGGATGCTCAGACATCTTGTAACATTCCAAAGAGTTCTGTTCCTATTAAGGTGCTAATCGTATTGCCTAGTTTGGGGCCTAGGACTCTATTTACAGAAAATCCTGAAAAGGGCCACCTTTGGGAATAATCTGATTGCATGTAATTATTGCTAAATATAGGTAACAGTTCCTTTAAAGGTGGTTTAATAAACACACATTCATATTACCAGTGAAATGTGCTGTGAAATCAGAAATTCAAGTAATGGAATATGTATGAAAAACATAATATAGTGAATATCTATAGGGAAAGATAGAATGAATAGGAGAAGCTTCTGTTTCCATTCTGGCAAACATAAGAGTTCCTTTCATTTCCAGAAGGAACTAAGTGAAGGCTTCCATGGGCAGAAGGGGGACAGGCTATTTCCTCAAATACAGTGGTGCCCCGCTTGACGATTACCTCGTTGTACGATGAATCTGCTGTACGATTAGTTTTTGTGATCACTTCGGGAACCAATTTTTCACTTTACGATGAAGTTTTTTGTGATCGCTTCAGGAACCGTTCACTTTACGATGATCAAAAACAGCTGATCGTCGGGTTTTCAAAATGGTCGCCCGCTGTGCAAAATGGCTCCCCACTGTGTTCAGGACGGATTGCTCGCATTACAGGCACCGGAAAATGGCGGCCCTATGGAGGATCTTCGCTGGACGGTGAGGTATTTTGCCCATTGGAATGCATTAACCGGTTTTTAATGCATTTCAATTGGCTTTTTACTTTCACTTGACGACGATTTTGTTCTAAAGCGATTTTGCTGGAATGGATTATCATTGTCAAGCGGAGCACCACTGTACTCCCTTCCTGCTTGGAACTCGCAACACTAATTCCCTGTGTTGTAGCGCAGGGGTCCCCAACCCCCGGTCCATGGCCTGGTGCCGGTCCATGGCCTGGGCCAGACTGGGCTGCAGAAACAGATCTCCCACTCCCACCTCCGCACGCACTCCTGCCCCCCCAGCCCCTCCATGCATGTGGTGAGTGCCTCTGTGCGCACAAGCAACCCCCACCCCTTCGCGAGTGCACACTAGAGGTTAAAGTGATGATAATAATCATCTTAGATCTGCAGAGGTGGAAAGGACTCTGTGGCTCTTTGAGTCCAGCCCCTGTGAGGGAGATACAGTGGAGAATCAAACTCCCAGCCTCTGGCTCTGCAGCCAAATACCTAAACCACTGAGCTATGGTTACTCCTTACTTTCCATCTATGGAAGAATTTCATAAGCAGACTCTGGATCCAACCTAGCTTTGTGTTTTTGGTGTTTTGCTTTTTAAAGAAAACCTAACAGTTTAAGATTTTGAGTTGTAGGGGTAAGATGAAAAGCAAATTTATTCTTGTATACAAAAGATCACAAAAGGAAGATAAAAGCAAGAAGTACATACTGTTCACATTTTCATATAACCTAAGGCCATGTTTTTATATAAGCTAAAGTAAAACCTTCCTTTTTAAAACAAAAATCCTGTTCTGTTGAAGATTTGGATCAAAGCTTAATCACAGAAGAATGCCCACAACTGTCAAAGTAGCAACAACAACAAAAAGGAAATGATGCTGGCTTCCAGGTTTGTCAAACACAAAGTGATTAAATAGTCCAAGCTGTCAAGGAACACCTTAGTTAATGAAGACTGATTTTACAAGGAGATTTGAGAGAAATGCACAAAAATGAACGTGTGACGGCTGCACTTCGTTTAAGTAAGAAGGTTAACAGCATCAGCTTAAGCAACCTCATTATTTACACATCTGTGTGACAAATTAGCTCAATCAGCTGCTCGGAATAGGTACTGTATGTTCTAAATTGCTGGAATGCAGTGAGCTAAGGAAGTGGACTTGTTCATGAAAGTTCACATTAAAAATATAGCAGTTTTTAAAGTGCCACAATGTGTTCGACTTCTTTTTTTTCCCCTTTTATTTTTGCCCAATACACAGTGAACTAGTTCATCTGATGTACTAAACCATCATAGTTTA